ATACTTATATAAAATTTTAATTATTTATCTCTTCATTTTTAGTGTTTGAAATCTATTCACATCTATTAAATATAATTATTATTTTAATTTAAAAAGTCATGTAAATTTTAACAATTGAAAATAAAAAAATGAATAGTCAAGATTTCATATAAATGTAATATATAACACTTGCATGGAAATAAATCTCACCTTTATATATATAATAAAGTGTATTATATGTCGTCTTCCTAAACTTTTTTGAAAGACTTATTTATGAATTTATTTTTAATTAATATTTTTAAAAATCAACTGTTGAATTGAAAATTTTATTTATATAAACCATACATGCTACTTTTCAAATTGTTCTATTAGGCTTAACTATGTTATTGATTACAAAAAGTTTAACATTGTTAAATATATGCTAATAAATAGAGTTTTTTCATTAAAAAAATTATAAGTATTACATCAATATAAAAAATAATATACATGATTCACATGAATAAAATTTTCAATTTAATGATAATTTTTTTTAAATATTAATTAGAAGATGGCATTTTAGATAGGTCATAAAAAAATTTTTTTTTTGAGAGGATGACTTATCCTAAAAAATCCATTATATATATAATACGGATTCAATTACGTACAAGTTTTACTCACCACACTTATATAAAATTCTAACCATTCATCTTTTCACTTTTAATGATTGAGATTTATTATATTTTTATCATATTTATTACAAATAGTTATTTTTTTATCTAAAAAGCTATGATAAATCTCAATTAGTGAAAGTAGAGACATGAATTGTCAAGATTTTGTATAAATATAATGTGTAAGACTTTTATGTAAATAAATTCCTACTATATATATATATTAGGATTGCGTAGGATAGGTTGTCCTTTCAAAAGTTTTTTTTGGAGGACCTATCTGAAAATCTATCTTCTAATTAATATTTAAAAAAATTGATCATTAAATTGAAAATTTTATTCATGTAAATCATATATATCATTTTTTAATTTAATTTTAGATTTTTTAATAATATGCTTTTAAGGGCATAGATTAAAGATATCTTTTTAACATTAATTCCTATTAAAAAAAATAAAAATTGACCTTTGTTTACAAAAGTGATATGGTTATAATGTTGAATGGTATTGTAAGTTTACAACATAACGTGTTATTATATAATTGACTAATTTCACTTAAGGGTCTACATGTAACATTGTATGCATTTATTTAATTAATGATACATAGCTTTTATTTAATGATATGTTATAGTTGTAAGTTTATGATCTTACATAGTGTTGTGATTATAGCATCGTCACTTTTATTTAATCAACTATCCAATTGAAATACTCCATATGGCATTAGTAACCAAATTAATGTCAACTTTTTATCATTTTTAATACCAATTAATGTCATAAAATATATTAATTACACTTTTAACATGTATCCTTAGGATATATATTAAAAAGATTATTTTATTTTTTGGCTTAAAATAATAAATTTAAATAAAAATTTAACATAATATCATAA